GGAGGGAGGGAGGGAGGGAGGAAGGGAGGAAGGGAGGAAGGGAGGAAGGGAGGGAGGGAGGGAGGAACAGATGGATGAACAGTCGGACACAGAGACAGACAGGTGGACAGGCAGACAGAGATGACATCTTCTTGTTATAATAAGAAGAAGGGACAGTATTTGCCAGGAAGGTTCTTGCAGTACGATTCTTTGTTCAGATCTGCTTCGACTTCGCAACATGAGATGGGGAGGAGAGCTGAATGAGGAGCAAGAATTATTCTATGCTTTCTGTTTGAGTTCTCTCCAATCGTTCTTCTTCTTCATTCTACCAGAACTTCTTTCTCTTCTACATTCCATTGCAATTCATGTTTACGTTTTCTGCTTTGATTATGATCAAATGTTTGGACAAGAATCATCACACTTCCCACCCTCTCCTCCCTCCCTGCCTCCCTCCCAACCCACCCAGCTCACACCCCCCCCCAACACACAAAAAGGGTCTTTGGCAGTTTTTCGGGAGTGCTCAGCAGCAATGTGTGGAATTTCGAGTGTGCTGACTTTTGGCAGTTTTCCATGCTCAGAAAACATTCTAAAAAATGATCAGAAGTCATAAATCGAGAAATGCGGCCCCCCCCCCCCAAAAAAAAAAAAACAAAGACAAAACAGGGGTGTAGGTTGAGTGCTAATCGTTTGGGGGGCAAAAGCTCACGTTCTTTTTTTTTTTCAAAGAAGCTCCCTTCAGGTTACTAGGGGTGCTGATATGAGCAGACACCGCTAGTACCGTGGGGGAGGCTTCATCTATTGGTGGGGAGCAGCACCTGCTGACATCTTGTTTAACGGGGCCCCGGCCTCCCCACATAAAGACCGGATCTCGGAGCCTTACCCAGTGTTCTGCTTTTGACAGGACCCATCGGGACCCAAGTTAAATGTTAAAACTTAAAACTCAAGCCTGTGTTAATAAATGTCGAAACCCTAGCGCCTATTTAAGCTTGAGCAGTAGACCCTTGCCTCTTTTATTCCTGCTGAAGTTCTGTTTAACTTCCTTATTGCCTTCCTTTGGAGGAGAACGGAAACACTTTGCCTCTGGTTTTAAGCCAGAGGAGAATATGCGAGCAAAAGCATGATCTTGGCTGTCCCCTTCGGCTGCCCCGGTAGGACGGGGGGATCTCCAGTCCCTTGGTGCTGTTCTTCCCTCCAAACGATGCTCCCCGCTGAAACAGTCCATTATCTGGCCAAAGGGGCCTGCCGATCTGGTGAATCGGCCCGTTCTCAGTTCGGTCTCGGTGCAGCGACAGACAACTCTGGCTCCCCTGAGAGACCCCAGGAGTGTCTGCTCCGTTGCTGATCGCTTGGCCTGCTGTGTGTGTTCCATGTCGGGCCCTTTTGACCTTGCTGCTTCCATTACTTGCATCCTTGATTGCATCGCATGTTGTCAGCTCCTTCAGCGTCTTGCGCCTGGAAATCCCAGGCTTCCCTGGGAGACCCCAGGGTGTTCCGTTTGTGGCAGTTTAGCGAGTTCTCTCTGTGTGCCTTTGCTGGGGCCAGTCCCTCGCCTCTCGCTTATCCATGGGTTGTTCCATTACTTTGAGGGGGTCCTTCTCCGGCTTGAGTTTCTTGTTGCTCTTCTGTGATTATCCCTCCTCTCCCGGCAGAGTTGTTATCATGTTCTTCCCGATCTCGCTGTTCGTTGCACAGGCGAGAGCTGCTCTTCATGGAGGGCGAGGGGTGGGAATATCAGGGGATTGGGTGGTCAGGATGAAGGGGGCTGGGTGGCAGGGGAGGTGAGGAGGGCCGAGGCTACGGGGCCATGTGAAGATGAGGTGTCGCCCTGTTATTGTTGCGATTCTGCTGGTGCCTAGTGTGTGCGAGAGGAATTTCTGTTTGAGATCGGTTTCCTTGCTGGGGTCCTCTTTGATTTTGCGCCTTACCTGGGCCCAGTCCGTGTGGTATTCAAGCTCCAAGTCCTCCCTGAAGTTGGGACCATGTGAGGGGGGATTGGTGACGTGTCTGAGACTCTGAGGCAATGTGTGCTGGCATCTTCTCCGCCAGATGAGCCACAGCGCGTTTAGTCTGAGGCGCTGCAAGAGCATGCGTTCCCAGCTGGCGAGGTCGGTCAAAACTCTTAAGCCAGTTAATAAAGAGAGTGGTGCAGCAGGGAAGATCTTTCCAGTGACAGTCTCCCAGAAAGCGAACACCTCCTCCCAAGTAGATGTTGCGTTGTGGCAGTGGAGAAGGCAGTGGCTTATATCCTCCGTTAATCCGAAGTCACAGACGGCGCATAGCTCGCCCTGCGTTGTCCTGTGGTGCCGGCTGCGGTGTCGGTTCAGCCACTCATTCACCAGAAGTGCTAAATACAGTATCAACCATTAGAGAGAGCGGAGATGCGGGTTACGGATAGAGCGTGTGATCTGCCCGGGTGTTGTGGGGGGGGTAGGGAAGGAGATCTGGAGTCTCTTCTGCCAGCGGAGGTTCAGTGTAGCTGCCACGTCGTGATCCTGTCTCAGGAGGCGATAGCCGAGCCGCGTTGTGTATTGTGTGATCTTCCACGTACACTGCGCCGGGCTGCTTGTTGGTCCAGTTTGCCAGCTCCACTCCGCGGGGTCGAACTCCAGGTCATGGAGAGGGGTGGCGGGGGGCCCTGACTGTGCGGGACACCCGGTGGGGAACATGGTTGAAAAAGGGAGTTTGGCAGATTAAACACATCTGGAACGAAACACATAGACGATGGAAATCGTCGTCCGAATCGCGCGACCAGCTCAAAGGCTGCCACAATCTAGAGGAGAACCTGGATATGCTCATCGCCTCGGTCCCTCTCACTTGGCTAGCGATGCTGAAAAAGGCTCAGCACTGGCAAGTCGGTGACTGGACCACATGGACCGCTGAAGATGCCCCGGCGACAGTTCTGGCCTTTATCTCGACCGAGGTCCCCACGGGAAGCTGGTGTACGATGACAAGACATGATATCGCACACCCTGGGGGCTCTTTTAGCCCCATCCAGAAGTCCACCACAGTTCAAATCACGGTCAGACCACACCTGCTCAGGAGGGTGCGGGTGATAGAAACGCCAGACACACAGCAAACGCTCACATTCTCTTTTCTTCTTTTTGACCTTTTTTTTTTTGGCCGCCCGCCAGTAGGCCGAAAACCTTTTGGCTCAGGGCTCCAGGCTCAGGAAAAACGTGCCAGTTCAGTAGCTTTGCTTCAAGGGGGGCGCCGGTTTAAACTTCAAACCACCATTCTTGCTTTGCCACCAAGAGAATTCCCAGTTAGGCCCCGACCAGCCTCCGAAACAGGCCCGGCGCAGGTCCAGCCAGGGTGCAAATTGAAAACCGTCACCCGACCAGGTTTAGTTGGGTACCCGGCCGAGGCTTCGGGTGCGGCAACAGAAAAGGAGTAATGGTTTAAGGGATTATCGGGGGTAAGGAGAGTAAAACTAGGAAAATCAAGTTATGTCGAGAGACAGCTCTACTGACCAGGGTTAGTGGGGTACCCGGCCGAGGCTCGGGGTGCAGCAACAGAAAAGGAGTAATGGTTTTTAACTTTTAAGGGATTATAGAACGTGATGGGCTGTGTGGAACGTGACGACGTGTGTGGAACGGAAGCTTGTTCGTGGAGTTATCTCTTTTGTTACAATCTTTTCGACTCTTTGAGTTTTTGTGCTCTTGGACTTCGACATTATGTGACGACTTCTCATCTTCTTCTCATTTAAGGGATTATCCGGTGTCAGGGGAGACGAACTAGCAAAATCAAGTTATGTCGAGAGACCACCGACATTTCTACCTGCAGGGCTTAGGTGAAAGTTAGGTCTCTTTGGGGTTGGGTTTCGGGTTGGATTGAGTGCCCCACCCTGTGTAGGATGTGCCACGCATGCTGCTCCTCTCCGTGAGCCCTCAGGCTTGTCATGTCCGTTCTCGTTCCGCTTCCTCCAACGTAGGTAAAGGACCCAGCCGCACATTACAGCGATGGCGAGAACAAGGATGCCTGCCAATGGTCCACCGACAGCAGCAAGCAAAAATACGCCCCCCCCGCTGTAAACCGCCGCTTTCGTTCTTTCACCGACTGCTTCAATATTCACACTTCCTTCAGAGTTCAAGGCATCCTGCCCTGAGCGTCTCTTCTTTCCTGTGCAACTGACAGTCGGAGGTACACTGCCCACAGCCGTACTGAAATTATTTGCGGAATATCCAAATATATCCAAGTTTCCCGAGGCCCTGCAACGTCATCGACCGCCCGGCACACATCGGAAGAAACACACAAACTCATGTGTAACTTGTCAGGGGGTTAAAAAAAAAGAAAGACGAACAGGACAGTGAGAACTCATGCCCTTAAGAGTTAAAACAACCTTAAGTGTGACAGTTGGTAAACCCATGGACTGTTGAAACACAGACGTGGGTTCGAATCCCAATCGAATCAGATGAGTAAGAAGTGACTCTGAGTTTACGAGGGGCCAGTGTGTTCAAAGAAGACAGCTCAAGAGTGGCAGTCAGTACACACCCATGAGCTGTTGAAATACAGACCCGAGTTCGAATCCCAATGGGAAAAGATGAGTGAGAATAAGAGGATGAAGTATCGCATAATGCAGCACAAGCAGGGATCATGTCCCACGCATCGACTGGGTCGGAAGCCACGCGATCATCCACCTCAGAGAACATTCACAACCCGATAACATCCAAGGCGCGCGAGGAGAAAATAAGCAAGAAAAGAGAGAGAGAGAGAGAGAGAGAGAGAGAGA